CACAGACAGCCTCTCGACAATATGCGTTTTTGCTGGCTGTAGCAGCGCTGTAGCGCTACTATAGCGCTGCACAGCAAAAACGCATAAAAACAGATATTCGTCAATAGTAAAGTGTGTTGGAAATATCAAAGCTTAAAAGCTATAGCAGGAAATAAATAATTTAGTTGATTTTTCTGCCCATTTGCATACATCTTGAGCGCCACAGCTGGAACTCATCAGCACAACGATTGTGCCATAAATTGTTTTTATATAACAAATAAAGGAAATTAGAGGTAAGTGAGTTTGCACGAGAAGAATTTGTCGCACATTTTATTTTATCACTATTCCTTCTTTGGTAAAAAAAGAAGTTTGTATTTGAGGACCGAAGGTCTGTCATAGCGCACAGCTACATCCTAGTAACACTGAGCGGCATATCGCTGTATCCCCGTAACATCACTAACGTGGAATCCTCACACCGATTACTCGAACGGCCTTGTTAACATTGATGTATATCGAGTGCAAGTTTTTCTTGACAAGCTTATAAAACAGTGCAAAGCAATCGCAATACGTGCGGCAACTACAACACATTCATTTCAATAATCAGAGCATTGGATATTAACAGATTAAATTCAGTTAACTGCGCTATATAGGCAACTCTTGTCTCTAGCAAGATGACACTAGCTCAGATCACAAAGTGGTAAAGGGAACAAACTTCGATCCGCCGCACATCCACCTCCTCGAATAAGTCCCCCGAGGATCTGTCCGGCGCTACCACCGACCTGGTTCTCGATTAGATTGCCCGCAATGCCGCCAATCAAACCACCGAATTCATCCTTACCAACATTCACTTTTTGTAACTCTTCCTCGTCAGCCATCGCTGGCGTCCGGACTGATCACCCTACAATGCCCAGCAAATCAGACACAATGCAGCTGGAACAAACACTGAAAAAGGAACTTCGCAGGGAAATTATGGAGCAACGCGTATATGTCCAAAACTTCACATCGAAAACGAAGGGATACAAAA